TGTTATTCATCCTGAAGAAATGTGCAGTTAATATTCATGCATGTTTTTGAACTTAAAAACTTATTTCTTTAAATGTTGACTAATATCACCCGCTATGACTATATATCAAGTTTGAGTAAATCTTCATTACTTCAAATCTGGTCATTTTATAAAAAGCTGGTATAAAAAAAGTGCACAGATTTGTGATTGCTTTGAAGTGTGTTGATTATGAATAAAGTTTCCATAAACATTCACATGGGGATTTTTCTCTAGAAAGCTTTACTTTTTACCTTTTATATTTCTGAGTGTGCATTGATTTATATGTTCCATGGAATCATCAAATAATAAGAACTCGTCCTCTGGTTGAAGCTAAGGCATTAATATTCCCAGGGGCAAAAAGAGCTGACATGTGCATCAGCAGAACAGGGATGGGGATGAAGGACCATGATAGCTTCGCGACCTAAGAGTGTTTCTTTTACTGAGAAATCAGAAGATAACAAGTGAATGTACACTAGCCTAAAAGAACCTGTCCCTGATCACAAGGACACAACTTTCTCTTTCCTTTGACACCCTCTGTGCATAATGGGCTACTCTGAGTGACTCTGAGGTTAGAGATGAAGCAAACGCCACTCCTGGAGGTCCCCAAGATGCACCTGGGCTCAGGGCATCAACTGAAGAATCAGCAGAAACCCAGGGGGAGCCTAAGCAGGCAGCTGCTGGGGGGCTCACTCAATTTGCAGATGCGTAAGTGGGTTTTTGTCTCACTTCCCCACAGGCCAGGAGCACCGTGGGAGCACTGAGACTGCTGTCCCACGATGAGCAGTAATAATCGGCCTCATCCTCAGCCTGGAGCCCAGAGATGGTCAGGGTGGCTGTGCTGCCTGACTTGGAGCCAGAGAATCGATCAGGGACCCCCGACGGTCGGTTACTATTACCATAGATGACGGTTCTGGGGTGTGTTCCTGGGAGCTGTTGGTGCCAGCTCACATAATATCTACCGATGTTGGAGCTGCTTCCAGTGCAGGAGATGGTGACCCTCTGGCCCAGCGACCCAGACACTGAGGCCGGCTGAGTCAGCACAGACTGGGCCCAGGAACCTGCAAGAAGGAGAGAAACAGACAGGGTGATGCTGGAGTCTGGACCCCACATGTCCTCCCAGGACCCCTCCCCCTGTACCACATCCAGTGACCTGTGCAGTGAGCGAGGAGGGTGAGGAGGAGAGGGGACCAGTCCATGGTGGAGGTCATCACTGATCCTGTCTTCAGTGGCCCCTCAGCTGAGCAGAGCCTCCCCTCATCTCTCCCTTCCCCTCTTCATCCTCTGAGAGAGGGAGGGGCCCTCCCATGCAAATGAGACCCCAGCTCTCTGACCCCTCCCTGGCCCTGGGTCAGGTCCCTCTGCCTGAGGATGTCAGGGGGTTGGCAGAAGAGGGGCTCTTTGGGGCTGGGTTGTGATTCAGGGAGTCCCAGCTGTGAGTCCTGAGCAGAGGCCACAGTCAGTGCCAGGTGGTGTTCCCAGCTCTGATCAAGCCTGACCCCTCATAAATATGCCTCAATCGCCTTCAGGCATCCTGACACCACCTCACCTTGCATGACATGGGGATCAGTTGCCCATAGGACACAGGTCCTGTCTCCAGAGCTCTGTCCACTCTCCTCCTACGATCTGGACAAGTCTCCCTGCATGTGGTCTCCCATGACTGTGGCATAGATTTTAGGCTACACTCTCACTTCTCAGTGTGAGGGACTCCTGGGTGGCTCAGTGGTTAAGCGTCTGTCTTTGGCTCAGGGCATGATCCTGGAGTCCTGGGTTCAGACCCCCCATCCGGCTCTGTGCAGGGAGCCTGCTTCTCCCTCTGCCTGTGTCTCTGCCTCTCTCTCTGTCCGTCTCTACCACGGATCCCTTGGTTTTTCATGGGCCACTCAGGACTGAGGTGGTGTTGCTACACCAATTCGTCTCACATCACTGTCACATCCAGAGGAGTGAAGGGTCGCCGTGTACAAGTGGCCTCTTCTGCACAGGATGCTGAGACCTTCCTCTTATATGATGACCCTGGTTGCAGCCCTCTCCTTCTCTGAGTTTCCAGAAATACTGAAGACCCAGGGAGTGAGATTTTCCAGGTTGTGGGTGGAAGCCCTCGTGTGCTTTCCTGGAAAGGTCACACACTGAACATCGTTGTCATCTCTCACTGTTTTCACCTGTTTTAAACTTTAGTTCTCCCCACCCTGTGGGCAGTGACTCCCTCCTAGGGTCTGTCCTCCCCCACATGGACACAGGTCCGCAGGAGCCCTGCCGTATGAGGTTGTGTGTGTGTCACTGACCTCCGAGCACAAGGGGCAGACCTGCAGGGTGTTTTAGCAGGAAGATGTGACACCTGGAGAATTTCTGACAAGAATCCAGAGGAAGAGATTGCCTATTGGTCACCCCCCAGACCAACTGTGCACATAAAATGGATGAATGTTCTTTTTAAGAAAATCTTCTCACTGTGCATTGGCTAAGACTCAATGATGATGTCACTGTGAAGACGCAGGTTGAATTACGAGTATATTGTTCACAGATCTGCGCGGACTGCACGGAGAATAACGATGGAAGTGGCATTTAAAACCTCAGTGCAGTTGCACCTGGTGGCTCAGTGATTGAGCATCTGCCATGGCTCAGGTTATGATTCCAGGTTCCTGGGATCGAGACCTGCATCAGGCTCCCTGCGGCAATTCTGCTTCACCCTCTGACTGTGTCTCTGCCTCTCTCTCTCTGTGTCTAATGAATAAATAAATAAAACATTTTAAAAGAAGGAATGATTTTGGCTTTCATTTAAACAGACATTTATAAACATTTTATAAAATCATTTGTCTCTTTTTTTAACCTTATGATTATGTCATGGGTCTGATCATGCAGGCAGGAAAGCCTGAAGTGGTGCCCATGAGTCCCCATGAGGACTCTGTTGTATGAACTTCGCAGCCATCTGAGTGCGGGAATTCCCATACACAGACGAGCTTCCTGGATGAGAAATTCCGGGTCCCACTCATATCTAAGGTGGGCACAGCTGGGGCCTGTGTCCAGCATGTGCAGGACAGAGCAATTGCTAATTCAGCCCCCCATGAGTAGGAGAACGAATTTCTATTGGCAAAAAGCACCTGGACCCAGGGTTGTTGTCAAGGTCCCCTGTGAGTGGTGTAGAGTGGAGATGAGAGGCCAAGTTCCTGAGGTCACAGACCCTGTGGTCCTGACTTGGAACAGATGATTTAACAGAGGTCCAGCCAGGCTGGAGGAGTCCATGGTGAGACTGTTGGAGGACAGCCCAGCCCTGAGAGCACAGGGAGGGTGAGTCCCACATCCCTGGGGGCCTTGACCTCTGGTGGATCAGCCCTGAGGCTGGGGTCCCAGAATCAATGTACTAATCGGCCTCAGGTGCTGATTGGAGCCCAGAAATGGTGGGGGGCTGAGCTGCCTGTGGGGACGGAGAGTCTCCCTAGGAATCCTGAGGATCAGCGTTGTCCCAAGAAACAGGTATTCAGAGAATATCCTGGCTGCCCAGGTGACAGGACCACAGTCCCTTGTGTTCCCTGGGGCTAGGGATTTTGCCTTCTGGAGATTGTGACATCAAAGACTGCTGGTGAGCACAGATTAGCCTAATGGGTGGAGAAGCCCAAAAACTGCAGAGCCCAGGACAATATACAACCAGAGATGAGACACCTGTGAGTGTGAATGTGTATGTGTCTGCATGTTGGTGCACACGTGACCTAAAATTTAGCCAAGTGGCCCTCATTCTCTTCTAAGCCTTCTCAATACACTGGGGGATTTTCCTTTATCTCAGGTCCTGGAGCCCGGATTTCAAGGTCTGTGTCTCAAAGCCCTTTTCCCTGAGGGAGGATTGATCCAGGCAGTGAGGACTCACTCATATGAGAGCAGCCCTGTAACAACATCTCTGAATCAGACAGGCAGGTGCTGCCGAGTGACAGAAACAGAAGGAGAATGTAGGGTTTCACATGCAATCCTAATTTCTGGTCATTCTCCTCCCCATAGATAGGCCCTGGGGACTGGAACCTTCAGCAAGATCATTTCTGGTTTTCTCTGAAATCCTGAGGTGGAGACGGAGCTCAGACCTGAAGAACGAGAGGGAGAGACAAACCTGAGGGACAGGGGAGCAGAGGGGAGAAGAGGAGGGAGGGGGTGGGGGTGTTGTCAGGGAGAGTCTGCAGGATCTGGTCCAAATTCACGTGTCTCTGGTTCAGAGAGAGGAGACTGTCTGTGACCAGAGTTATAGACAGTGTATCAGCTGTGGGTACATCAGGAGTGACAAAGGTCACACTTCACGGACTGAGATGATAGAACTGACTGTGGATGAATATTTGCTGGGTGGCAGGTTCAGTTGCAGACACAGTATTTATCCCTGTCCATCTTCTCCAGACCTCAAGGGGGTGTGCTGTTGGGCTCTGATTCCTCATCTCTTCCTGTCTTCCTCAGATGTCCAAGGAGGTGTCACTTTGCAGACATCCCCTTAGTATTTCTCTTTTGTCTTTTGAATCGAGACCTTCTGAGGCACCAGGGCGGCTCAGCGGTGGAGCATCTATCTTCAGCTCAGGTTGTGTTCTCAGGTCCAGGGATGGAGTCCTGCATCAGGTTCCCCACAGGGAGCCTGCTTCTCCCTCTGCCTATGTCTCTGTCTCTCCGTGTTGCTAATAAATAAATAAATAAATAAATAAATAAATAAATAAATAAATAAATAATATATTAAAAAGAACCCAGACCTTCCTACATATTATGTGCCCCTGCATGTATCTCCAGGTAAGATTCTCTGAAAAGTAGCTCCAGACCATGACTGTGGGTCCAGAGGTCTTTGTCTCACTTCCTCCTTCTCTGAGACCCTGTGAGTATCAGGAACTGCTCCCACTGCCATGGTCTGTAGCACAGTGACAGTCAGCCTCGTCCTCAGGCTGCGGCCCAGAGACAAGCAGAAGCCCTGCATTGGCTGAGGTGTCCTTGGAGCCAGAGAAGCGGCTGGGGACCCCGGCCCCTGGTGAATCTCAGTAGACCATCAGCAGGTACTCAGGAGGCCTCCTGGCTGCTGGAACCAGCGTATGGCCACCGCTGCAGCCGCTGCTCAGGGTGCAGGTGAGTCTGGCTGTTGTTCCCAGGGATGCAGAGAGGGAGGGCGGCTGGGTCAGCACAGGCTGGGACGGGGAACCTGCAGACACATTCACGGGTGATGGATTAGGGGTCAGACTGAATTTCCTCAAACCTCTAAGCTAGACCAGCTGACATAGGCTGACAGTGGCTCTGTGTCCCTGAGGTCAGTCCTGACTGTGCACTGACAGAGTAGAATGAACATTAAAGATCCCAGGTCAGGGTGACACAGTCCCTGGTCCCCTCCGTGGGATGGGCTGTGCTGGGCCTCCTCTTCTCCTCCCCCGTCTGCCACAGGAGGGGCTGTCCATGCACAGGGCACCACCCACTGACAGCCCAGCCCCTCCCCAGGCCCTGATCCTGGAGCTCTGCTCACACCACACACTGAGGAGGATGGGGGTGGCTTCAGCCCCAGGAACAGCCCTGTGGGGAACCACCTGCTGGCACCACACACAGGTCCCCAGGGGAGACTGCCAGGTAGGAGGGGACACAGATGCTGAGTCCCCATCAGGGAGCTCAGAACCCAGTTGTCAGGCCCAGGCACCCTGAGTGAAGGGTCCTCACTGAGCAGCCCTGTAGGGACCACAGGGCAGTCCCTCAGCGCCCCCTCCTGGCCACAGGGCACACACCTCGGCAAGGCCCAAAGCCCTGAGAGCCCAGCTGGTTTCCAGGGCTCACCAGTTCCCTCCCCATTGGCATGTCCAGGTCTGACTCTCAGAATGGGTTCCATCTCTTGGGCATTAGAAGCATGAGTTCCACATGTTCTCACAGAAACGTATTTGTGTTTTAACCTCCCGTTTTTGTTTATTTTTGTGTATTTTTTAATAAATTCATATTTATTGGTGTTCAATTTACCAACATACAGAATAACACCCAGTGCTCATCCCGTCAAGTGCCCCCCTCAGTGCCCGTCACCCATTCACCCCCAACCCCCGCCCTCCTCCCCTTCCACCACCCCTAGTTCATTTCCCAGAGTTAGAAGTCTTTATGTTCTGTCTCCCTTTCTGATATTTCCCACACATTTCTTCTCCCTTCCCTTATATTCCCTTTCACTATTATTCATATTCCCCACATGAATGAGAACATACACTGTTTGTCCTTCTCCGATTGACTTACTTCACTCAGCATAATACCCTCCAGGTCCATTCCACGTTGAAGCAAATGGTGGGTATTTGTCGTTTCTAATGGCTGAGGAATATTCCATTGTATACATAAACCACATCTTCTTTATCCATTCATCTTTCGACGGACACCGAGGCTCCTTCCACAGTTTGGCTATTGTGGACATGGCTGCTAGAAACATCGGGGTGCAGGTGTCCCAGCGTTTCAATGCATCTGAATCTCTGGGGTAAATCCCCAGCAGTGCAATTGCTGGGTCGTAGGGCAGGTCTATTTTTAATTCTTTGAGGAACCTCCACACAGTTTTCCAGAGTGGCTGCACCAGTTCACATTCCCACCAACAGTGTAAGAGGGTTCCCTTTTCTCCGCATCCTCTCCAACATTTGTTGTTTCCTGCCTTGTTAATTTTCCCCATTCTCACTGGTGTGAGGTGGTATCTCATTGTGGTTTTGATTTGTATTTCCCTGATGGCAAGTGATGCAGAGCATTTTCTCATGTGCCTGTTGGCCATGTCTATGTCTTCCTCTGTGAGATTTCTCTTCATGTCTTTTGCCCATTTCATGATTGGATTGTTTGTTTCCTTGGTGTTGAGTTTAATAAGTTCTTTATAGATCTTGGAAACTAGCCCTTTACCTGATACGTCATTTGCAAATATCTTCTCCCATTCTGTAGGTTGTCTTTGAGTTTTGTTGACTGTATCCTTTGCTATGCAGAAGCTTCTTATCTTGATGAAGTCCCAATAGTTCATTTTTGCTTTTGTTTCTTTTGCATTTGTGGATGTATCTTGCAAGAAGTTACTGTGGCCAAGTTCAAAAAGGGTGTTGCCTGAGTTCTCCTCTGGGATTTTGATGGAATCTTGTCTCACATTTAGATCTTTCATCTATTTTGAGTTTATCTTTGTGTATGGTGCAAGAGAGTGGTCCAGTTTCATTCTTCTGCATGTGGATGTCCAATTTTCCCAGCACCATTTATTGAAGAGACTGTCTTTCTTCCAGTGGATCGTCTTTCCTCCTTTGTCGAATATTAGTTGACCATAAAGTTCAGGGTCCACTTCTGGGTTCTCTATTCTGTTCCACTGATCTATGTGTCTGTTTTTGTGCCAGTACCACACTGTCTTGATGACCACAGCTTTGTAGTACAACCTGAAATCTGGCATTGTGATGCCCCCAGCTATGGTTTTCTTTTTTAAAATTCCCCTGACTATTCGGGGTCTTTTCTGATTTCACACAAATCTTAAAATAATTTGCTCTAACTCTCTGAAGAAAGTCCATGGTATTGTGATAGGGATGCATTAAACGTGTAAATTGCCCTGGGTAACATTGACATTTTCACAATATTAATTCTGCCAATCCATGAGCATGGAATTTTATTTGCCAACATATTTTATGACACCCAGTGCTTATCCATCAAGTTCCTCCCTCATTGACCGTCACCCAGTCTCCCCATCCCCTCAACCACCTCCACATCTGCTACCCGTTGTTCATTTTGTACCAACATATTTGTTGTATCAGTGACAAATCCGAGAAGCACAGTGTGTTCACAGATGCACAGTACAGTGGCTCCCATCAGGCCACATTGTATTAGAATATAGTCCACACTGTAGAGACATATTGGGACCCTCATTCACTGATTCCTTCATTAATTTTTCTCCATACAGATTATTTTCTTTTATGGAAAAACCTCATTTTGTTTCACATATTTTACAGTGGAGTCTTTAGTAGGATTGTGTTGAAACGTGGAGATTATAAATTAATGCTCATATTCTGGGCTATCAGCTCAATAGGTAACATTTTCCTACAAATGGTGAACCTATATATTCTTGAGGGTAACATTATGAACAATCACCCAGATTACTCATTCTCTGCACTTTATTTGCTCAAAGAACTTGTCTCATGCTCAGAATTTGCCCTCTCCCACCTTCTCCCTGTGGTTTCCTTACTTGGTACCTGGAAGCCCATCATGTCCATCTCCACCTTCTGCAGGGATGGGCCTGGGTACTGGCACCATGTGAGTGGGCCGAGATTGTGCATCTACAGGGGTGAACAGGTTTGGGGACCACACTGGGGGAGTGGTCTTGTGTCTGGGTTGGTAGGTCCTGGCCTCATATTGAGACCGGTTGGTGCCTCTGTCTAAAGGAGCCAATCTGGAGGCTAGGTACTTGGAGTCAGCCTGAAACGAAGGTGAGCCAGGAGATTGGATGTACAGGAGCGCTCCTGGCACCTGGGACCACAGGGCGTGAGCTGTTCCTGGGGTGGTGGGATCCTGCATCTGATGGGGAGCTTCTGGCCCCTGGGTACATGCAGCTACCCTTGCATGGAGGCTGATGACAATCACAATCGAAATTCTAGGTCCGAGGGGCCTCCCTTCTCTTAGGTTGTTTGAGCTGGGAAAACAGAAAGGCTGAGGTCACAAAGGAACAGAGGTGTCCTGGGGCTATGGATAAAGTTGGGCACCCTGGGGTCACAAGGGTTTTGGAGGCCCCCAAAGCTGGCAAGGAACAGTCGTGGGCCAGGACCTAGGACATACAGGACCAGACAGCCATAGGAGCTGGCCTGGCTTGTGTGCCGACAGAGACTCTGGTCTCCAGGAAGGTCAGGGGCACACTTCACCCTGCCTCCAGGGGAAGGAATTCCCTCTGAGCTGGGCCCCCGATCTGGGCAGAGCTCACGGGCACCATGTGAAACTCTTCCCTTCCCCCTTCAAGGCACCTTGCCTTCTGTCTCATTCCACCCAGGGGCTGAAACAGCTCACTGGAATCCTCAGCTCTCTTGGAGGAATTTGCCTTGTGGATCTACTTTAAATTGATGCTTCTGGAAGAATAAGCTTGCTAGAAACTCCTGCACTGTCTTCCTTCTGACGCCACTCTGCTCCCTTCATGCAACTTCAATGCAATGGGATGCAGGGACCTTACATTCACTGCTGTTCTGGCTGGTCCTGAGGCAGGGGGACATCAAACTTCCTGTGTGCAATACCTATTCGAGAATGTCCCCTTCTTAGACCTCAGTTCATCTGATCTCAGCTGCTCAAATTATTGGGGGAGCAGACATCCCTCCCTGAGGGACTGGGTTCTCTTGCTCTTTCCATTTTCAGGACATCGTGGCTGCAATTGTGCATCAGCCTCAGGTAGAGCTGGAGCTCTAGACCCACCCAGAGATGGGTCTACTCAGTGTGGGTGTGGCCTTGTTTTGGATCCAGAGAAGCAGCTGGGAACCTCAGAGCCCAAATATGTACTTGAGTCTGAGTAATAGTACAGGAGACACCAGGGAGGGCTACCTGATTTCTGCTGGCACCAACTTATTACAAAGCTGTCAATACTGAAGCCACTGCTCAGGGTGCAGGTGAGTCTGGTTGTTGTTTCCAGGGATGCAGAGAGGGAGGATGGCTGGGTCAGCATAGACTGGGATGGGGAACCTGCAGACACACACACGTCACAGTGAAGACAAGAGACAGGGTGCATGTGGTTGAGGAGCTGAGCCACAGGGATCTGACTGAGGCTGGGGTGCCCCCTCTACCACTGGTGACTGTGCCTTCCTGTGCAGTGACAGAGGAGCACAAGGAGGACAGGGGTCCAGGCCATGGGGGCACAGTCCCTTCTTAGGCCACAGAGCTGGGGCTGGGCTGCCCCTGCCTTGTCTTATCCCCTGTCCCGGGGCCTCACAGAGGAGGGGCTGCTCATGCAATATGATCACCCCTGCCGCTCCCTCCTGTGCACTTACAGGCCTGTGGCCCTGTGACAGGGAGGATTGCTGATGCACTAGCTTCCCCATGGTGGACCTGGAGGGAGTAGCTGCCAGGACCCACGCTGACCCAGGTCCAAGTACCCATCCCAGTTCAGAGAGGACATTACTATTTAGTTCCCACTAAAAGCAAGGTACCCAGCCCTAGGACTGTGTCAGAGGAGGGATTGCATAACTGGGAGCCCTGTCCTGCAGAAACCCCCAGACTCCATCCTACTTCTCACTGCTGGCCTCTGGGCAACTCTCCCTCTTTACCACCTCAGGCAAGCCTCCTCTTCTGCTTCTCTGACTCCTGTGCTCCCACCATGTGAGAGTAACCCTCCAGGGATGGGTAGAGGTCCTGGGGTGTCGTCTCTAATCAGGATTCCTCCATGGCCTGGGTTCTAGCGGGAGGGATCTGTGCAGTCCTCTACCAGGAGAGCCAGGAACTGCTGTGGATATGAGGACAAGACACAGGGAACACAGAACAGGGGATCTCTGTCCCTGTGGGCAGAGTCCAGGAGAGGTGGGTTGGCTCCATGTGCTGAGTGTGAGGAGGAGCTGGTGTGGGGGACACAGATCTTCGTAGAGGAGGACACAGAGGGTGGGAGTGCTGGGCACTTCTTGAGAAAGGTTGACAAGACACAGAAAAGACTGATGAAGCTGCCAGTGTTTTGGGGACAGAGCAGGGCCTGGGCATCAAACAGGGACCAGTGCAGGGCCATTCTGTGACATCCTTCCCCTCCATTTACTGTGAGATTTTTCATCCCAGCTGTGCCCGTCCTCAGGAGTACTCATCAGAGAATTAGCTTCAGTGGACATCCTAGTGCAGAACGTGGGACAGGGAGACCTAGGAGGGTCCTTAGGAGGAGGGAGTGGCTGGAGAATCGTGACAGCCAAGGCAATGGGTAAGGGTGCAGGGGCTTGTGTCCACAGGTGGGACACTGGGAGGTGACTGACTGGACTCCAGGTTGTGGGAGAGGGTGGGATGGTCCATAGTGTCAGGTGGATGGAGGTTGATGCCAACAGAGTCTGGAATGCCTGGAGAGACACAGGTAAGGTCAATCGGGAAAGCAGGTGGAGGACTGGTGGTGGGTCTGTTGTTCCCATGTCACATAAAGACCATATATGTTTTGTACAAGGTGTGGAGACATTCCAAGACAACCAGGGCTGAGGGAAGCCTTCCCTCCCCCAATGGAAGGAGTGAGTGAGTGAGTGCTACATTAACCACAAGCCTGAGGGCTTAGTCTGAGGGGTCCTGAAAGGAAAGCTGGTGGTGACAGAAGGAACAGGGTGATGAACAAACACACAACGATGATGGGAACCAAGTAGTGTAAACCTTCCTCCACCCCTGCATCTTTGCTATGCATCCCTGAAGGGAACCCCTTGTCTATGAGGGGGCGGGGAGGAGAGGACAGGACAGAGAAGCCCAGGGCTCTGCTGGCTGAGGCCACACGGTGGCATTAACATCCTCCCCTCCACAGTGGTCCCTTGTCGTAGACCAGGTAGCATTGCAGGTGATTCATTTCATCATGGGAACCTCTCTAGGCAAGGAATTGTCTGTCCTGCCTGAACACCAGCCTGAGCAATGACTACACGGGGAGGGGGATGCAACATGAACAAGGGAGGGAGTCAGAGCTGAGCACCCATGCACCTCCAGGGGCTTGGATGCTGCAGAGTCACAGGGCAGTGAGGACACTACCTGCCAAGTGTGCAAGAATTACTAGAGTATTTCCCTGGCTGGGCTGGACCAGAAGCCTGGCCTCAAGGGACCTGTCCCACGGTGCCACCTGCTGGGCTGAGACACTGAGTCCTCCAGGCTCTCTCACCCTCCCAGCACTCCTGCAATGATGTCCAGATTTTTGCAGTTGACTGGAGATGACTGGAGATGTAGCCCAGGACAGTGAATGGAGAGGTGCCCACTGTGGAGTTTTGGGCTGACAGGGTTGTTTTTTTTTTTCCAACTCATTAATGACCCCGGGTGATTAAATACATGGTGTACTGCACAGGGCTTCTGTTCCCAGGTGGTTCAGCATCCCTGAGAGTGGAGTTTACCTCTTCCAGGTGCCTGAGTTTATATTCAGTCTACCATCATCTTGAACCAACTCTATGCCACAAAGGCCTCACCATACCGTAGTGGTTGATACCTTATAATAATTCTACATGGTCCCACCTTCCACTTTCATCCTTGTTGTTGTTGTGAGTTTAGATTCTCCTGTGAAGTCCTGTCAGACTGCCCTACAAGGCCCTTAGATGCTTCTCTTTGTCATGAGAATAGAATGCTGTCAGGGAAACATGTCTTCTGCTTCTCCTGGCTTTTCTGGTTTCAAAGATTCTTGATATTTAGCCTGGCTTATAGATGTGACTCTTTCATATACCTAATATATTTTTAAACCAGTTTTTCACTCAGTGTCAGGATTGGTATAAACATAACATTACTATAAATGGAAGCCTCTTCTACTGAGCGGTCTTCCACCTCCTGCACTGAGAACCCTCATGATATGGGTATTGGGCCCTAACCAACTATTATTGCTCAGAATTATTGTTTGGAATTCATGGGGGATGGATATCTGATATCTAGGCTCAATGAACAGACATTTGTCCAAGACCTTTCCAGCCAAGGAGCCAGACGGAGTTAGCAGCAGGCATCATGTGGTTGAACTGAGATAGTCTGAGAGAAAAGCATTAATTTTCTACAGGTCACTAATAAGACCCAGACTGTTCCATGCAGGGATTATTTAACAGTGTTTATGTGAGGTAATATATTAGTGTTACCTAACCTTTGAGCTTGCTGTCTGCATGGCCCTGGAGTTCCAATCAGTCTCCAGTCAAAACCAAATTCAAGGCCAACTCTTTCCCAAAGTTCACTGTTCATTCATACTTGATAAGATCTACGTGGGTAATCCTACCTGAGGGACCAATGTTGCTGGTGCTGTATTATGAGAGTCTCCTGTTACATCACGTGACCCCCAGTGCACAGGTCCTGGCAATGATGTCTGCATTGGTACAGACTAATATGATCTCAGCATGAAAGTGTCCACTATCGTGCTTCCTAGTCTGGGTTTTAATTTTCCGTTTGCTGTTAGCCTGGGAATTCATTATTTCTTCTGTCTCTCTCATATACTTATGATTCATTTTCCTTTTTTATTAGACCACTGTTCTAATGGTTAAGAGTATAAGGATTGACTAAACATTTTATATGGTACGAACACCTTAGAATTTCTTTCCCTACTCCTGAATCAAGGGACCCCCAGTACCTGGTATCCCACCTCTATTCAGCCTTGTATTTATTTGGTAAGTGAAGCAGGGATTAA